GGGGGAGCCCCCCTTCTTGGAGGCCATCTAGGGTGTCAGGGTCCAGCTGGCTGAGGCGCTGTGGCCCACACCTGCACTGCCAGCCGACGCAGGTGGCCTCTCCCGAATAACCTGGGTCTTGACGGGCTCCAGTATAGAAAGCCCTCCCAGGAAACAGTTCTGGAGCGTGAAGGGCCTGGCTCCGGGCCAGAAATCCTATGCGTGACCTATCAGCCCAGCCGCAGTCAATCACGAAGGCTTCACCCGGCGGGCGGCACGAGAAAGCCCCGCCACACACCGGGATTGGGACACAGCCAGGGCACTGCCATCCTGGGGAACCTGCAGCAGAGACCCAGGCCCGCCAGCCATGCTCCGACGTACGTGTGCATTTCTAGCCCTGGCGCCGCCATCAGAGGCCTCCTCGTGGGATGCCTGGAAGCCCCGCCCCAGTACCCGGTGCTTCATGCCCAACCCTCCCTCCCGCTCCTCCCCACTCCAGGACTCCTCGAACCACGGGAGGCTTTCATCCTGGGCTCCTGGGCATGACCCCCACCACATGCCTTTCCCTGGGGGGGGGGGGGGGGGCGCGCAGTCCGTGCTTCCTCTGGTTTTAGCCTCTTGCTCAGACTACCGCAGTGAGTGATGACAGCCTTCACTGCTTCCTCCGCTTTGCCTTGCTGCTGTTACCGGCTCACCCACCCAGTGGCTCAGCTGGGTCCCGGACGGGGGACGCCCCCACCTTCCCATCTTACAGATGAGAAAACCGAGGCTCTGAGAGTTTCAGTTTCAGTGAGTTAGTTGTGGGACGACTCTTAAGATCTAGAGGCTCGTTTAGGACCTACGTGTGGCCGGTTTTGAGTTCATGTATTCGTGGCTACCACCCCTAAATTGTAAGCACCCTGAGGACAAGTACCCCTGAAGCTGCGCTTTCAAGAAGCCTCTGTAGAGTAAAGGAAGACCCCCTAAATGAGAAGTAGCAGGGGCTGTTTCTTCCAAGCTGACTGTGACAGGGGACCCCACCAGCACCGGGTTTGGCAGACTCCGAGCCGGGGAGGGAGGGAAGTCATAGGGGTAGAAGAGAGGCTCTGGGCAGCCCAGAGACCGTGGGGTGGGGAAGCTGCAGGCAGCCAAGGCGAAGCCCGGCCTCCGACATGAGCGGTTAGGGGTTGAGGGAGGGGGTCAGTCGTCCGCCAAGTCCCGGTTCCTTTGGGCCGACGGCTTCGGGGCTGGCTGCTGTGGATGCCGGGAGTTGGGGTCCTGTGGCCATGAGCACGTAGCGTGGTCACGGTGGGCACGCGGCTGGGTACGGTCGGCACGCGGCAGGGTCAAGGTCGGCACGTGACGTGGTCGCGGCCCGCACGCGCAGGCAGCCTCCAGGCGGAGGAGGGCGCTGCGGTGCGTGTGTGTCCTGCTGGTTAGAACTAACTTGCCGAGCGTCTCCGTGTGCGTCTGAGTGTCCTGCGGTGGCTCTGCCTCTTGTAGACTCGGTCACCCCTCCTCCCTGCCTCCAGCGGGAACACCTCCAGGGAGGCAGGAACTCCCCGCCCGCGAGTGCAGACGGCACGCGGGGCGGGGGTGGAGACCCGGAGGCCGCGGACCGAGCGTGTGTCGCGGCGGAGCCTGCGCGTCTGCATGGCAGTGGGGGGAGGGGGCCCAGGAAGAGGTTCTTTAGCCAAACAACGGAGGGAGGGAAGGGCTCGCGGGGGGATCAGCCAGATTCGGGGCTCCCCGTGCTGCTGACGCACCCTGATTGCCTGTGTCCGGGGTGCAGCCGGGCCGAGGCCCGTCCTGGGTGCTGGCGGCCTGCCTGGTGGCAGACGCGCGTGTCCTGAACGAGGGGCCAGAGCCTGGTGGGGCCTCGGCCTAAACCGGCCGGCCGGGCCGTGCACCCAGCGTCTCTCGGCGTTTTGGGGGGTGACTGTGGGGCACAGTGTTTCCTTAGAGCCTCACACCCCCCAGGGGCCCCACCCCGACACACCCCCAGAGGACTTGGAGTCCGACCCTGGTGCCCCTCCTGCCCCAGGCCTCGTCAGGCTTTGGTCCCGGAGCCCAGGCTCACCCCCACCCCTGAGATGCCAGTCTCCTCCCTACAGTCGGTCTGGGACCCTGCCCCCCCCCAAAGCTGCCTCAGGGGTAACCCCTGCCCTTGGCGTGCAGACCCTTGAGGGACACAGACCCTTCTCCAGGAGGGAGTTCTAGCGCCGCTCTTTCCAAGAAGCCCATGGTCTCCCGGCTCTCCACGTGCCATTTGTAACACGGGAACAATAGTGACAATGCTGATATACCCGCCCCTCCTCACAGCGCCCCCCAGAGGCACCCGTCATTGTCCTCCCGACCCAGTTCAGGCCCCTCTCGCGCCCCACTGGCCTCCACGCACCGTGCACAGCTTCCTCCTGACCAGCCACCGGCAGGGATCTGACGGTGAAACCCATGGGGGGGTGGGGGGCGTGGAGGGGGTGGAGGGGGCAGGTGTGATCTGGGTCGTGCTCCACGCTCCTGGGCAGCGTGGGCAGGTCCATGGTCCCCACTGCAGTGGCTGCTCCGGGCTCCCCTCCTGTGAGCCCCGGGGGCACAGCCCTGCTCGGTGTCCTGCTGGGGGCATTAGGGAGCCGGAGTCTCCGTACTGGGGTGCCCATCGTTCTGCGCCCTCCGCCTGGCCCCCAAGTCCCGATGGCACTCAGTGCTGCAACTCAGCAGCGCTTGGGACCCGTCTTCCCCGACTCTGGACCACACGCTCACGGCTCGCTGTCTCGTCATTTCTTCTTTGCACCTGGTGCCTGTCCTCTGAACTCCTGTTTCAGACTTTGCTTCTTAGGTCCCTCTGATCCGAGGGGGGGAAATGTGCCCTATCCTCACGGGTCCTGGTCCCAGGCCACCTGGCTGCTCAGCCCTGCAGGGGGTGGCCTCTGACGGGGCTGCTGGCCCAGGGCGGGGGCAGGGTTTGCGAGCTCAGCCTGCCCTGTCCTCAGAAGGGGGTCCAACTAGGGAACAGCAAAGCCCCTCTCAGATGCATCAGTCGCCACCCACCATTCTCGCTGGTGCTGCCTCCAGACTCTGCTTCTCACAGAAATGGGGAGTCGTGATCATGTCGTCCCCCAACAGGCTGGAAGTGACCCCAGACCCCCACCCCCCCTGAGCCACAGCCCTTGCTTCAAGGAGGATCACTGGTTCAGCCCCTAAGGGAGGGTGTCCCTGGGTTTTCTGGATTATTCTGTGGGCTGCCTGAGAACTGTAGATGTACGTCTGCCCCGGCTGCTGGGGTCTGGTCCGGTGTGACTGCGGTGGGTGGCCATGTGACTCAGGAGAGGGAGTGATGTTCCCCAGCCTCGCTGGGAAGGAGCTCTCCACTCTGACTGGTCACCTGGTGTCCTCACCCATGTTCAGAGAGCAGACAGAGGGATGGGTGCCCTTCCTCTGCACCCTGATCAAGGCCTTCGAGGTTTTTCCAGGCACAGGGAATCGGTCACGTCCTCTGTGCGACACCAGCCTGGGCCAGTTGTGCATGAGGTGGACGTAGCCCGCAGGGGCGCCTGGAAGCTGGCAACCGTCCCCAAATATTAGCCGTCTGTCCCTGCCAGTGGGGACTGGGCTCGGAACCCGTACAACAGGAAAGGTGTGCCGAGTGCCCGTGAGGACAGAGCCAGCCAGAGGGGCGGCAGTCACCGCTGAAGTTTTCTGGGTTTTGTTGGTGACGGCGACCCTGCTCTGAAGAGCTGTTCCCCTGGTAAACCAGAGGACCGGTCAGTGACGGCCGAACGTCCGTCTACTTGGAGCCAGCCACGAACCCAAAGTGGCGCTGTGTGCTCACGGGAGGCGGTCCGGGTTCCTGGGCCCAGCACCTGCTACAAACTACTCTTGCCACTGTTTCTCTGCCCACGCCCTCACCATGAGCGGCGGACACAGCCTGTGTCCCTCGAGGCTCTCAGCCTGTGGCGGCAGGCACAACCCATGTTCAAGACCCTCTGCAGGGTACCCCGCTTTCCCTGGCCAGTTCACATCAGTGTGGCAGACATTTATCCAGCAACGACGATAGGCCAGGGGCCGGCCACACGCTTCTGGGGAAATGGAGGTACCACAGTGTCCGTCCTGGACAGGCCTTGCACTTGGGAGAGGACACAGGTCACTATGTCCCAGACCAATGCAAGCGGGTGTATGCCGTGGGCCTCGCCAGGCTGCGACGGCACAGAAAGCCCTTCAAGACCCCGGTCATGGGGCTTCCTGTCCCAGGGAAGCTTCTCCCTCCTGGAAGGACACTGAATCAAGGGACCATGGCTCCTGTAGGGAGGGAGGGAGGGACACCTGTGACAGACCACACTGGACCTCAGGTCAGCCTCCACTGTCATTGCCCGCTGACCTCACGTGGCCGGGTCGGGAAGGGTCCGGGCGGCAGCCACGGGCTCTACTCCAAGCCGGCACCTCCTTTCTGGAGGCCGGGCCCTGTGAGTTGGTCCAGAAACAGCCTCTCTGGGCACAGGTGCCCCCCTCCGGGCTCCTCATTTTCCTTTCCCATCATCTGGCCTCAGCTGAGGCAGGCCAGCCCCTCAGCTGTGTTTCTGACGACCTTGAGCTGTAGGACGGAGGCTCTCCGGGAGCATGTCTGCCCTCTGCAGGCTGTGTGAGGAGCAGTGCCCGTCCCATGGCGGCCCTACCTTCCACAGCACGCGGGGACACGAGTCACGGAGCCCCGCTGAGGCCACAGGAAATGCCATGCTCCACGTTCCAGGGTCCCTGAACTCCTGAAGCCCAGCCCCCGAGGGGACTCGTCCGTCCTCTGTCCCCTGGCTCGCCCAGCACAGGGCTCGGCTCTCAACTGGGAAACAGTGGCGCCACGGGATGTGCTCCGGGGTTTGGCGGAGGGGGGAGGGGTCGCCGCAGACTCAACTGCCGTCTTAACCCTCGGGGCCTCAGTTTCCCCACTGGTTCAAGGGGAAACTCGTAGGGGCCCCATGAGGGTTCAGAGCCTGCCGCGCCAGGCACCCCGTCAGCACCCGCGTAACCCACGTGTGGTTTCCCTGACACAGACCTGCGCCCCCTGGACATCCTGGCAGAGGCCCTCCCTCCAAATGGCGCTGCGGGCGAAATCAGGGTGACACAGGCGAATGGCGTGCGAGGACTCCAGCTCTCGGCCGCCGCCCCCCACGCCATGAGCTTCCCCGCATCGAGGATTTTCTTCCAATGCGACCTCTTCCCTGAAGAATTTTCGATCGTCATAACCTTGAAAGTTCCCAATCTTCCCCCTAAGGTCAGTGATGCTTTTTACTCATGTTCCTTTGTGATGTCCTCACTGCCCCCGCGTACAGCGGGCACGGCCACTCCAGACTGTGGCCAGGCTCCAGCCAGAGGCTCCTACGGTATCTGTAGGGTCAAGAGTGGCCGGACTCGGTAGGTAGTGAGGTCCCCGTCACAGTGTGTGTGCAAGCAGAACCTGAGGCACCGTTTGCTGGGAATTCGTACCGGTAATTCCTGCAATGGAAATTTTTCTGGTGGGCTGAACCGTCGAAGGCTAGGGATGATGCTTAGAGTTTTTACTTTGCTGTCTCTTCACGGGAAATGTAGACAATAAAACGGTAAGGACAGGCCCTTTTGGACGTGGTTACCTGCGATCTGCGGTTTCATCCACCTCAGATCCAGCTAATATTCCCATCCCCCCACCAGGCTGGAAGCCCCCCAAGGTGAGGCCCCCAGGGGCCCGTTGCTGCTTCCCCATGGGGCCCAGGACAGTGCACTTCATAGGTGTGTGACCAGGTCAGAGTCCTCAGTTAGGAAAGGAGGGCCCTTCCACCCCCGGTCACAGTCCTTGTTGGCTTGTGCTGTGGAAGGCGACACTCCCCGATGCGTCAGTGACATCTGCTCACGAAAGCCCCTCTCTTTCCTGCCGTCAAGCCTGCCGAGTTTTCTACTCCATTCACTGCATTTTCCCCTTTCTATAATTTCTGTTTTCTTCTGCTTTACATAAATTCCACTTCTCGGTGTAAAGCCTCTGTCTTGTCAGCTACTGTCCTGAACACGAGTCCAATAGTTGGACGCAAGGACTCTACTCTGGACGACTCTGACGTGTGTACCGCCCACGGACTGGCTGTGCTGTCCGCTTCATCTCTTACTTCCTGCTGTGCTCAGTGATTATTTCTTCGGGTAAAACTTGTGTTGCAGAAACGTCTTTTATCCTAGTGCTTCTACATAGGGGATTAAGTACAGCATGTGGTGAACACGTCCTATCACCGAGATAGCGCTACCCAGGGGACTCAAATTACATCACTCCGGGAAGCAGCTTTTATACAAGTGGCTTTCTTTATGTTGTATTTTTGAGAGAGGGAGGGAGGGAGCAGGGGAGGGGCAGGGAGAGAGAGGGAGAGAGAGAATCCCAAGCAGGCTCCGCAGCAGGGCTAGAACCCACAAACCTGTGAGATTATGACCCGAACACGAGTCGAAATCAAGAGTCAGACGCTTAACCAACTGAGCCACCCAGGCGACCCAGGTCTTCTCATCCTTAAACGGGGGTGTTTTCCCACGGATTTATTTTTTCTTTAATGCAACAAAATGATGTTCTACAGCCTCTAGAGTACCAGTCTGACAGTTATTTTGTTCCTAAGGATTTGTTCACCTAACGTATATAATTTCTCGGCACACAGTTGTTCATAGCATTTCTCTGTAATCCTCTTTGTTTCTGTAAAGGCTGACGGCACTGTTCTCTCTTTCATTTCTGATTCTCACCATCTGAGTCTTCTCTCTCTCTGTCTCTCCGTCTGTCTCTCTCTCCCTGATCAATGTAGCTGAAGGATTGTCAATTTTATTGATCTTTTCAAAGAACCAGTTTTATTGGCTGTATTATTTTTCCATTCTCTGTTTAACTTATTTATGGTCTGATCTTTATCATTTCCTTCCTTCTGCTTGTCTGCCATGTCTTAAAGTGGAATATAGCAACTTACAGCTGTAAATCTCTAAGAAGCTGCATCCTGTAAGTTCTAGTATTTCGATCTTCACTTTCATTCATTTAAAAGTATTTTTTTAATTTTTAAAAATTTTTAAATTTATTTTTGAAAAAGAGAGTGAGAGATCACAAGCAGGGAGGGGGGAGAAAGAGGGAGACACAGAATCTGAAGCAGGCTCCAGGCTCTGAGCTATCAGCACAGAGCCCGATGCAGGGCTCGAACCCACAAACCATGAGATCATGACCTGAACTGAAGTCGGACGCTCAACCTTCTGAGCCACCCAGGTGCCCCTAAAAGTATTTTATGATTTCCCTTTTCAATTCTTCTTTGACATTTTGGTTATTTAGGAGTGTATTGTTTAGTGTCCACATATTTATGAATTCCCCCAATTTCTTTTCTGTTACTAATTTCTAATTTCATTCCCCTGTGGTCAGAGAACATACTTTGCATTTTTGTATCCATTTTAACGTACTGGCATTTGTTTATGGCCTAGCCTGTGCTCTGTCCTATTGGATGTGCCATGTGCGTTACTGAAGGACGTACATTCTGCTGTTGTTGGTTGGGGTGTGCTACAGATGTCCATTAGGTCTTGCTAGTTTACAGCACTCTTCATGTCCTTGGTGATCTTCTCTCCAGTTGTTCTTTCCATTGTTGAAATTGGGATATTGAGGTCTTCAACTAATGTTGTTGAATGGTCTATTTTTTTCCTTTATGTGTGTCAGCTTTTGCTTTGTCTATTTTGGTACTCAGTTATTATTTGCATATGTGTTTATAATTGTTACATGTTCCTCATGGATTGACCTTTTTATCATTATAAAATATCCCTCTTTGTCTCTAGTAACAATTTTTGTTTTAAAGTCTACTTTATCTGATGTTAGTAAATATTAATATTTTCTTGTGGCTGCTGTTTGCATATGTTTTTCCTATCCTTTTACTTCCAGTCTAGCTGTATCTTTGACTCTAAAGTGTGTCTCCTATAATGAGTATATAGTTGAATCTCAATTTTATCCAGTCTAACAATCTTCCCCTTGATTGTATTATTTAATTCATTCACAATTGATGTTATTATTGATCCTCGTTATTCATGGATTTGGCGTTTGCAACTTCAGCTACTCACTAAAATTGATCTGTAATCTCAAAGTCAATTCTCACAGTGCTTTCACAGTGTTTCATGGATGTGCATTGAGCAGCAAAACATTGGGTGTCCCCACACACAGGTTCCCAGTGGAGGTCAAACAGGTGTCTTGTGCTGTCTATTTAGTGCCACATTTTCCATGATCCCGTGCTTCTTTTGGTGATGTCACTGCTTGGCATGGCCTCATTATGCAAGAAGGCTGCGATGTGCCTCATGGAGAAAATACATGTGTTAAATGAGCTTCCTTTGGGTGTGAGTTATGTTGCAATTGGAGGTGAGTTCAGAGAATCAGCAATGAATGCTAGATATTCACTGTGAAATAATAATGTATGTTGAGATATATAATATGATATATATATATAGAATATGTGTATAATAAAATATATGTGTCTCTGTCCCTGGTTCTTGCTAATATTTGGTCTTTGACCTCAGTTCCTGACACAGAGCTCCTAAATGCCTTGGGACTTCCTGGGTGGTAGGAATGATTTCTGTTCTAATGAGGTGATTGACTCTGGGTTAGCTTCAGGATGGGGGCTACTCACCAGAACGACCAAGCTTTGGTTAGAAGCTTCATGCTGTAGGCTCCATTCCCATCCTCAGGAAAGGGGAGAGTGGCTAGAAACTTAGTTAATGACAGATCGTGCCTGCATGAGGAAGCCTCTGTAGAAATCCCAACGTGCAGAATTCTGAGAACTTCCAGTCTGGTGAATGTGTCCATGTGCTGAGGAGGGTGGCGCACCCAACTCCACAGGAGAGAAGCTCCTGTACTCGCCGCCCCCCGCCACAGGCCTCGCCTTGCGCATCCCTCCATGCGGCTGTTTATCTGTATCCTTTAAAATAACCTTTGGGGGCGCCTGGGTGGCACAGTCGGTTAAGCGTCCGACTTCAGCCAGGTCACGATCTCGCGGTCTGGGAGTTCGAGCCCCGCGTCAGGCTCTGGGCTGATGGCTCAGAGCCTGGAGCCTGTTTCCGATTCTGTGTCTCCCTCTCTCTCTGCCCCTCCCCCATTCATGCTCTGTCTCTCTCTGTCCCAAAAATAAATAAACGTTTGAAAAAAAAATTAAAAAAAAAAAATAAATAAATAAAATAACCTTTGTAACAAATCAGCAATAGAGCTCATCTATTTCCCTAGCAAAGTAATAACCCCGAGGGGGAGGTCACAGGAACCTCCATTCTGTAGCCAAGTCAGGCAGACGTTGTGGGTAACTGGGCACCTACTACCGGTGGCTGGCCTCTGAAGTGGGGGCAGTCTCGTGGCCCGCACCCTTAACCTGGGGTCTGCGCTAGCGCTGGGGAGTGTCAGAATGGAACTTAATCATGGGGCACCCACGCAGCTGGCGTCAGGAGCGTTATGTGCGGGTGAAGGGAGACGCTGTGTTTTTTCCTGGACACACATGAAACGGGGTTCTGTATCGATCGGTTGATGAAAATGAGACCAGGGGCTCACAGGAACCTGACTCTAGTCCCCCAGGAGCCAAGCGTCAACATTTTGCTAATCCAGCGTGAGTGGCGATTTTCCATCACGTGACCGCCGCCCGCGGGGAGAACCAGCCGCAGCTGGAGGGAGCACCTGCTACCACCCGTTCCTCTCCCTCTGCGTCTCACATCGCCCGCCTGCGTTCCTCTCGTCCTCCGTTGGCGCGTTCCTGTGCACCTAGTGAATGTTTTCTCAGGCGCCTTTTTTATTTAATGATTTTTCACTTTAAAGAAAAGTTTTTCCTAGTGTTTGCTCTCTAGGGCTTACGCGTGTTTATTTTACCTTAGCCGAATTAGCTTCTGATTTATACCAGCTCCACTCCCGTGACATAAAAACATTCTCCTTTTCATACAGGACGCTGTCCCTTCTTGTCCCTTTCGTATGGGATGCTGTCCCTTCTTGTCCCCTTTCATGGTCTTGCTGTTAACACACACTCCATCGGTCCATGTAAAAAACCCAATAATGTATTGTAATTATTACCTAATGCCTTTTATGACTTCGAAGAAGCTGAGAGAAGAAAGGAAAACAAGATGAAATGCAAGGCTTTTGCTCTCCTGGCCTTTTCATCATTTCTGGTTCTCTTCCCATTTTCCTGTGGATCCACGTTGCCATCGGCACCCTCGCCGCGACGTGTCTGTCTGCGGGTCTTTTGTGCGTAACTTATTTGAGTGCGTTGAGCCTCCTGGATGTGTAGATTAAAG